TGCCCCCAATCCCTCCCAGCATCAGGGTCTTTTCCAATGAGTCAACTCTGCATGAGGTGGCCAAAGTACTGGAGTTTCAGCTTTAGCATCAGTCCTTCCAATGAACACCCAGGACTGATCTCCTTTAGGATGGACTGGTTGGATCTCCTTGCAGTCCAAGGGACTCTCAAGAGCCTTCTCCAACACCACAGTTCAAAAGCATCAATTTTTCGGCGCTCAGCTTTCTTCACAGTCCAACTCTCACATCCATACATGACCAGTGGAAAAACCATAGCCTTGACCAGATGGACCTTTGTTGGCTAAGTAATGTCTCTGGTTTTTAATATGCTGTCTAGGTTGGTCATAACTTTCCTTCCAAGGAGTAAGCGTCTTTTAATTTCATGGGTGCAGTCACCATCTGCAGTGATGTGGGAGCCCAAAAAAATAAAGTCTGACACTGATTCCACTGTCTCCCCATCTATTTCCCATGAGGTGATGGGGCCAGATGCCATGATCTTAGTTTTCTGAATGTTAAGCTTTAAGCCAACTTTTTCACTCTCCTCTTTCACTTTCATCAAGAGGCTTTTTAGTTCCTCTACACTCTCTGCCATAAGGGTGGTGTCATCTGCATATCTGAAGTTATTGATATTTCTCCCGGCTATCTTGATTCCAGCCTGTGCTTCTTCCAGCCCAGCGTTTCTCATGATGTACTCTGCATATAAGTTAAAGAAGCAGGGTGACAATATACAGCCTTGACGTACTCCTTTTCCTATTTGGAACCAGTCTGTCATTCCATGTCCAGTTCTAACTGTTGCTTCCTGACCTACATACAGGTTTCTCAAGAGGCAGGTGAGGTGGTCTGGTATTCCCATCTTTTTCAGAATTTTCCACAGTTTATTGTGATCCACACAGTCGAAGGCTTTGACATAGTCAATAAAGCAGAAATAGATGTTTTTCTGGAACTCTCTTGCTTTTTCAATGATCCAGCGGATGTTGGCAATTTGATCTCTGGTTCCTCGGCCTTTTCTAAAACCAGTTTGATCATCTGGAAGTTCTTGGTTCACGTATTGCTGAAGCCTGGCTTGGAGAATTTTGAGCATTACTTTACTAGCGTGTGAGATGAGTGCAATTGTGCAGTAGTTTGAGCATTCTTTGGCATTGCCTTTCTTAGGGATTGGAATGAAAACTGACTTTTTCCAGTCCTGTGGCCACTGCTGAGTTTTCCAAATTTGCTGGCATATTGAGTGCAACACTTTCACAGCATCATCTTTCAGGATTTGAACTAGCTCAATGAGAATTCCATCACATCCACTAGCTTTGTTCACAGTGATGCTTCCTATGGCCCACTTGACTTCACATTCCAGGATGTCTGGCTCTAGGTCAGTGATCACATCACGATGATTATCTGGGTTGTGAAGATCTTTTTTGTACAGTTCTTCTGTGTATTCTTGCCACCTCTTAATATCTTCTGCTTCCGTTAGGTCCATACCATTTCGGTCCTTTATCGAACCCATCTTTGCCTGAAATGTTCCCTTGGTATCTCTAATTTTCTTGAAGAGGTCTCTAGTCTTTCCCATTCTGTTCTTTTCCTCTATTTCTTTGCATTGATCACTGAGGAAGGCTTTCTTATTTCCCCTGGCTATTCTTTGGAACTCTGCATTCAAATGGGAATATCTTTCCTTTTCAGGTATGACCTAAATCAAATCCCTTATGATTATACAGTGGAAGTGAGAAATAGATTTCAGGGACTAGATCTGATAGACAGAGTGCCTGATAAACTATGGACAGAGGTTCATGATGTTGTAAGGAGACAGGGTCAAGACCACCCCTAAGAAAAAGACATGCAAAAAGGCAAAATGACTGCCTGAGGAAGCCTTACAAATAGTTGAGAAAAGAAGAGAAGTGAAAGGCAAATGAGTAAATAAAAGATATTCCCATTTGAATGCAGAGTTCCAAAGAATAGCCAGGGGAAATAAGAAAGCCTTCCTCAGTGATCAGTGCAAAGAAATAGAGGAAAACAGTAGAATGGGAAAGACTAGAGATTGCTTTAAGAAAATTAGAGATACCAAGGGAATATTTCATGCAAAGATGGGCTCAATAAAGGATAGAAATGGTATGGAACTAACAGAAGCAGAAAATATTAAGAAGAGGTGGCAAGAATACACAGAAGAACTATACAAAAAAGATCTTCACAACCCAGATAATCATCGTGATGTGATCACTGACCTAGAGCCAGACATCCTGGAATGTGAAGTCAAGTGGGCCATAGGAAGCATCACTGTGAACAAAGCTAGTGGAGGTGATGGAATTCCAGTTGAGCTATTTCAAATCCTAAAAGATGATGCTGTGAAAGTGTTGCACTCAATATGCCAGCAAATTTGGAAAACTCTACAGTAGCCAGAGGACTGGAAAAGGTCAGATTTCATTCCAATCCCTAAGAAAGGCAATGCCAAAGAATGCTCAAACTACTGCACAATTGCACTCATCTCACATGCTAGTAAAGTAATGCTCAAGATTCTCCAAGCTAGGCTTCAACAGTACTTGAACCGTGAACTTCCAGATGTTCAAGGCTGATTTAGAAAAGTCAGAGGAACCAGAGATCTAATTGCCAACATCCTCTGGATCATCAAAAAAGCAAGAGAGTTCCAGAAAAATATCTATTTCTGCTTTATTGTCTATGCCAAAGTCTTTGACTGTGTGGATCACAACAAAGTGTGAAAAATTCTGAAAGAGATGTGAATACCAGACCACCTGACCTATCTCCTGAGAAATCTGTATGCAGGTCAAGAAGCAATAGTTACAACTGGACATGGAACAACAGACTGGTTCCAAATCGGAAAAGAGTATATCAAGGCTGTATATTGTCACCCTGCTTCTTTAACTTATATGCAGAGTACATCATGAGAAATGCTGGACTGGATGAAGCACAAGCTGGAATCAAGATTGCCAGGAGAAATATCAATAGTCTCAGATATGCAGATGACACCACCCTTATGGCAGAAAGCAAAGAAGAACTAAAGAGATTTTTGATGAAAGTAAAAGAGGAGAGTGAAAAAGTTGGTTTAACTCAACATTCAGAAACCTAAGATCATAGAAACCTAAGATCTGGTCCTATCACTTCAGGGTAAATAGATGGGGAAACAAGGGAACAGTGAGAGACTTTATTTTGGGGGCTCCAAAATCTCTGCAGTTGGTGACTGCAGCCATGAAATTGAAAGACACTTGCTTCTTTCAAGAAACATTATGAACAACCTTGACAGCATATTAAAAAGCAGAGACATTACTTTGCCAACAAAGGTCCGTCTAGTCAAAGCTATGGTTTTTCCAGTAGTCATGTGTCGATGTGAGAGTTGGACTATAAAGAAAGCTGAGCACCAAAGAACTGATGCTTTTGAACTGTGGTGTTGGAGAAGATTCTTGAGATCCCTCGGACAGCAAGGAGATCCAACCAGTCCATCCTAAAGGAAATCAGTCCTGAACACATTGGAAGGACTGATGTTGAAGCCGAAACTCCAATACTTTGGTCACCTGATCCAAAGAACTCACTCATTAGAAAAGACTCTGATGCTTGGAAAGATTGAAGGTGGGAGTAGAAGGAGACAACAGAGGATGAGATGGTTGGATGGCATCACCGACTCAATGGACATGAGTTTGAGTAAACTCTAGGAGTTGCTGATGGATAGGGAGGCCTGGTGTGTTGCAGTCCATGAGGTACCAAAGAGTCAGACGTGACTTAGCAACTGTACTGAACTGAACTGAAAAACAGGGATGACTTCCAGGCAGCTCTGAAGCTCAGGAGAGAGTGTGGAACCAGCAGTGACAGTTTAGGCACTGATGAAATTGAGGGGACATTTGAAGTCATGGACCTAGATTAGTCTATCCAGAAGAGGGAGCATTTAAAGCTGGAAGAAGAAGAAAGGAGACTGAAACTAGAGACTTAGTCAACATTTAAAAGCAATGAAACAGAAGCAGACGGAGACAGAGATAGAGAGACAGAGCACTAGAGAAAAGAAGCCAGCAGAGAGCAGTATCACTGATGCAAAAGAGGAAAACTGGAAGGAGAATTCCCAGGATATATGTGATCTAATCCTACATTCAAACACTTGTAGGTTGATACGGAGAAAGCACACAGGACATTGCTCTTCATAAGGAAATGAGGCAATTTGATTTCATAAGGAAATGAAGGGGGTTTATCAGAGCCTAATCTATTTCTTTTCCACAAACATGTATTTAGAAATGAAGTGAAAGTGTTAGTCATTCAGTCATGTCTGACTCTTTGTGACCCCATAGCCTGTAGCCCACCATGTTTCTCTGTCCATGGAGTTCTCCAGGCAAACATAATGGAGTAGGTTGCCATTCCCCTCTCTAGGGGATCTTCCCAATCCAGGGATCAAACCCGGGTCTCCTGCGTTGCAGGCAGATTCTTTATGGTCTGAGCCACCAGAGAAACCCCAAATCTATTTCTTTCCCACAAATCTAAGTATGGAATAATTATGAAAAATATTTCTGGAAAGATAATATTGCAAAAAACTCTGATAAACTGAAAAAATTACTAAGTGGCAGGGTCACACTAATCTATACATATTTTCATAACATATGAGAAACCTGTGATTCACACTCAGTACATTTATGTAGTACTTTGCACACTTCAGGATACTTTGCTGATCTCCTCAGCCCTTGAAATGGTTATAATGAAGTAGATGATTCTGGCATCAGTGGGTTATTACACTGCTAAGAGAAAGTAATAAGCAACATAAAAAGAAAAATATAGAAAGAGTTATGGAAGTTCAGAAAAGGGAAATGTTGCTCTTGTGGAAGGGGGTGAGCTTTGAAGAGCCAAGAGTACTTAGTGCTTACCGTGTGCCCTGTTACTGAGATAGGTACTGTGTTAACTCATTTGGAGAACTTGGATATGTTGAGTGGTAGAAATGGGCATTTTACACAGAGGTAGATGGAAACTTTGGTATTCATTATTGTGTCTGGCACAAAAGTGCAGTAGCTACTAATACTAGTGGTTATCATTAATTATTTCTTGGTGCCAGGTACAATGCTAAGATCCTTTTGTACATGCTATCACATTTCAGCTTCAGAGCAGCCACTTTATACATAAGCTCAAGTGACTCGCCCAAATGAGGTCCCTGGTCAAAAACAAACAGCATGCTCAGCGGACAATTTTTGAAGAGAATGTTTAGTAGGATTTCTTTTAAAAAGGAAATGTTTTTAGAGGTATAGGCAGAGTAAAAGAGAATGAATAAGGAATGTTGAGGCACCCAGAGGCTAGCAAAAACAGGAAGCCATTACCACCCTTAGATATAGATAATTCAAAAAACATCACAAAATGGTTCAAGCTGCTGCTGCTAAGTCACTTCAGTCGTGTCCGACTCTGTGTGACCCCATAGACAGCAGCCCACCAGGCTCCTCCGTCCCTGGGATTCTCCAGGCAAGAACACTGGAGTGGGTTGCCATTTCCTTCTCCGATGCATGAAAGTGAAAAGTGAAAGTGAACTTGCTCAGTCGTGTCCGACTCCTAGTGACCCTATGGACTGCAGCCTACCAGGCTCTTCCGTCCATGGGATTTTCCAGGCAAGAGTACTGGAATGGGGTGCTGTTGCCTTCTCCGGTTCAAGCTGAGTTGGAGTCAACTGGCTACTTCTTTCCAAAGCATAGAAATTAGGAATTCTCCCTTCGCTACTTTCATCAATATTCTTACATCAAACATTATGTCATGGCTATGTCGGTCCCTTGATCCCTTCTGCAACTACACTGATCAACATTCACAGTGCCAAAAAATACTTTGAGAAATTGGAGAGGGTGAATAGCCCCAAGCACAGCCTCATGCATTGAATATTGCCAAATGCTCTTTCTGAAAATGCTAAATTGCCGTTTCTTCGTATTCTTTTTCTTTAATATTCATAATGTTGTGTACTTAAAAGAGAACTTTAAAATGCGCTGTTTACTACTTTCATGTAAGTAGTTACATGATGTTATAAGAACCCAGCCAGGAGCTAGAATCACCAAAATGAGGGACCACCAGACAGAAGCTATGGTTATAAAAGGGTTGTTGTTAGAACCATGAAAAGCAGGAAGGGAGTGAAAGGAATAAATATGTTGATTTCTGTTTCCTCTTGTCCTCCCATCTCCTGTAAGAGCTTCTCACTGGCCAAAGCCAACAATAATGGGATATCAGATGATATGGTCCATGAAGGGCAGTCCCCTTGGTTTAGAGCAAGACAGAAAATAGTGACGCCTGGGTCTTGGGCACACCAAGATTACACAGCTAAGATGCAGGTTGGGCAGGAGTCAAAGTCAGATTTATTATGCCTTATTCACTGCTTTTATTTCTCTTCCATACACATTGTAGGTGTCTGGTAAATATTTGTTTAAAGAATGAATTCCCAAATGAAGGTTGAACAAGCCAAGATTAGGGGCTACAAATCCTGACTTTAGGAACCAGAACCCTGGAACCACTTCCTTGTCTATAAAATGCTGCCTGGCCGTTGGAACAAACATAACTTACATTGTACATCAAAGGAAATCTGCAGCAGTCAGTTTCCTCCACAGTAAAACTCTTTGCGTCAAACTAATGATTCTTATCTGGAAACACTCAGGACTTAGTGTCAGAATGCAGACTTATGGTATTTACTTGATCTAGTATTTTCAGTATTGGGGAAGATGAGGACACCACTGAGCCTTCATTCTCTTCAAGGATTCCAACCCCTATCCTCAAATACCCATTCCCCAATGAAAGCAAATATTATATCTGCTGAAAATGGAGTAATAAAGGAGTAAGGCATGAATGTCTATTTTAATCCTGAAATAACTGCTATCTAAATTTGACTTCAAATGTAGATCTTGATATATTATCAATGGAAAAGAAAAATTGCCTCTGTATCAGTCAGTGCCCAGCCAGGAGCATACAAACAGTTCTAGGTATTCCAAATAGAATTTAAACAGGGAATTAGTTACAAATATCTTGAAATTTGTGAAAGAGAAAAAGGAGCAATTTGACCATAAGCTCCATAATGTAATTCACAATTACATCTCCTGTACCTGATATGTAGCAAAGATTCAAAAATGTGTATTGAATCTATGATTACACTTGTGAGTGAGATTTGGTCTATCAATCTAGGAAGGTCAAGGGTTCTGCTGGAAAGCATTAGGATAGCTATATGACTCTGATAATTCAAGGGATGTGAGTATGTGGTTTGGCCATTGGTAGGAAATCATGTTCAAAGCCTTCTGTTCAAAACCTGTCAGTGTTACTATATAGCACAGAGAACCCTACTCAATATTCCATGACAACCTATATAAGAAAAGAATCTGAAAAAGGATGAATATATGTATATGTATAGCTGAATCACTTTGCTACACTCCTAAAACTAAGACAACATTGTAAATCAACTTGAATCCAATAAAATTTTAAAAACCCAAAACAATAACAAACTCCCCCAAACCTGTTAATGGATAATATTTAAGGAACACCTACTGGGTGCTAGATACCATTTCTGGCACTTTACTAAGACATTTGTATTATTAATTTTAACCTTCCTAATAATCCTATGATAATGGGTTCATTGTTTCCAGTTTCATATATGAGGAAGAAAAGGAGGCAAAGAGTTTTTAAGTAACACAACTAAGAGCATACAACAAGAAAATAGCAGAGCCAAGCTTCCACCCACAAAGTTTGGCTTCAGAAGCTACACTCAGTCTCCACACCATATGTCTCTCCACTGCTCAAGCGATGAAAGCTTAAACCTTTCTACCTTAATTCTCCATTTTCTCCATTGTACTCTGGGGCACAAACCAGCTAGCTGTTTCCCCAACCTGCTTCCTCTCCTTTCTGGGCTCGCAGAAGACTATTCCCCAGCTCTTCCCTTTGGTTGCTGCAGCTGTATGATTGAGTTCCAGCCAGAGGAAAGTGAGCAGAGGTGATGTGTATCACCTCCTGGCCTGGCCCATCAAGCCTCTTACCTCTGATACTGCATGTTATAATTTTCTTTCAGCTTGAGGAAAGTGAGCGTGGTGAACTTGGATGCCGTATTTGAAAGTGTTGGAGCCACAAAATGGAAGACGGCCAGACCCCTGCATGTTGCTTGGAGAAGAGTCAGGAACCAATCAAGAACATCTGTGTTAGCTTTTAAGTGAACAAGAGATACACCATCAACTTGGTTCCACCATATGTGGTGGGGTCATTTTGTTACAGCAGCTAGAGTTATCTTAACCAATGCATACATGATTTGAGCTGATTTGTTGTTCCTTGAACATGCATTTGGCTTTTGCACATACTTTTCCTTGGAATTCTTATTCTATTCTTCCAAATAGTCACGTCCTAAAAATTATTCGAGGCCTAAACCAAGTCCACTCATCTTCAAGCAGCTCTCTTTCACTCCTACTAGCCACAGTGCTTTCTTTTTCGCTTAACTTCCTATACCACTTTGTTGATTGTATCTCTCATGTGCTCTTAGCATAGCTCTAATTTTGGTTGTCTTGTTTTCCCAGTAATCTCTTCAAGGTCAAGGATCATGTTTTAAAGCTTCCTGTATGTCTCTGAAGTACATAACATGGTGGTGTGCCTTGAGAATTATCAATAAATATCTGTGAGAAAAATGAATTTATATATGTATTAGACTCAATAAAGTCCATGTTCCCAAAAATAGTCTTTCATCACTCAAGCAGGAAGGCATGTAAATGTAATTTACTGGAGTTTGTCTTTATTATTCTTTTCACCAACATACACATTCTAACACTTTTTGACAACTGCTTAGAAGAGACAGAAGGCATGCTTATCAAATTTCAGATGACACAAAACTAGAGGTAATAAATAATGCATAGGATGACAGAATCAAAATGAGGCAAGTTGGAATGAAGCAGATAACATTTACTGGGGGTAACTGCAAAATTAGATTAAAAAAAAAACGGCCCAATTTCAGTATGGAACATGTGGCTAATGTCAATTTATAGGAAAAATCTTTCAGGTTTTAACTGGCTGCTGGGTTGACATGAGCCCTGAGTGGATACATGGGACTTCGTTTATAATTAGGCTCAAGGCACTTGATGGCAAGTACTCAGGCTTTACCAAGGCATGGGCATGAATTAAGCTTGCTAGGTGGGGACCAATGGAGGTAGATGAAACCTCAATGTTAAGTAAAGAGGGGAACAAAGTCCCATATTTTAGCCTGGGCAAGCTCAGCACATGAGGTAACTTTCACCGGTAGCACTGGTGGGAATCCCCTGCTGAGGACACCATCAGCTAATTTCTGGACACTAATTTGGTGCCAACAGCATGGGTCCCCTGAGAGTTTTGCCTCAGAAGTAGAACCCAGTAGGTCTCAAAGGTTTATTATGTTACTTTTGGTCCCACTTCCCAGCATCAGGGTCGGAGCTGTCCTTCACTTAAAACCAGTCACTTTCAGAGCTGAGAAATGCCATGTCATCTGGGTAAGTTCAAGTCATCCTCGAGAGAGAGAGAGGAGAGAAGGCAGATCACATCTCCTCTGTGCTTAACTGAGACAACTGTTCCAGGATCCTTAGCTAGATCTCTCCTTGAAACCTACACTGCATGTTTGCATGCTTAGTTGCTAAGTTGTGTCTGACTCTGCAACCCCATGGACCCACCAGGTCCTCTGTCCATGGGATTTCCCAGGCAAGAATACTGGAGTGGGTTGCCGTTGCTTCCTCCAGGGACTTAGGCAGTGTTAATAGTAGCCTAGCACCTGGAATAAGGGTCCTTCTATAGTCTCTGAGGGTCAGGCCACACAGGAAGAATTGTTTCTATTCTAGATACTATGATTTAAAAGGGATACTGGCAAACTGGTATGAACCAAAATATTGAAGAGATTTAGAATATTGAAGAGATTTAGAAACCAATCACTAGTTCTTTTCTGGTGGGTTAGCCTCAAGGCCCGGAGTGGGTTAGGACAGCGAGTGGGAGGGGGTGTCAGGTAGCAAGGAGAGCAGAACTGTCTTCGGATGTGTGAATGCTGCCTTGTGAAAGAACACTAGCGTGTTAGGTAATGGCAGAAGGCAGAACTGGGACCAAGGGTATATAAGCCCCAAATGAAAATTTTTTACTTGTGATAACTCTGAAAGTAGAATCCATTTTGTAAGTGAGTTTAGAATGTTCAAGTAAAGAACTGGTGACTGTCATAGATGTTTTAGCTGGAATTCCTGAACATTGGGTAGGGAGTTAAATGAAAGTGATTTTAAGATCCCATTCAAATCTAATGTTCTATGATTAATTAATCTTTAAATTAGAAAGGTGCTGCAGAATTTGAGGAAAGAAGATTATTACCTGAGATGATTTTGGAGTCACAAGCTGAAATGGATCTTCCCCTCAAAAAGAGCGGAACCCATGGATTATTTTGTCTGTAATGTGTGAGATGGAAAAATAGAAGCCTAGTACCATTATGAAGGAAAAGGAACTCCCAAGGGGCATGAGAAAAGAAATGTTTAATAAATATGAGAACTTCAGAGTCTGAACAGGCCTGAGGGGAAGGCAAGGGAGGAATTTGGAAACCCCCTTTCCCAAAGACAAAAGAGTTGTGATGCTCCACATCTGAAACTGCTCAAGGTGAGCACTCATCTATGGCTGATGAAAACACACTTGGTCTTTTACTCCCTATTCTGGAGGCAAACTTTCACTTTCTGGAGGCAAAAACTCCAGAATCACACATAATCACAGTGTTCATAGCACTTTCCCCATGACTCTGTAAAGAATCCACCTGTAATGCAGGAGACTTAGGAGACACTGATTCAATCTCTGTGTTGGGAAGATCACCTGGAGGAGATCATGGCAACCCACTCCAGTATTCTTGCCTGGAGAATTCCATGGACAGAGGAGTCTGGTGGGCTACAGTTCTTGGGGTCTAAAGAGTTGGACAGGACTAATAGAACTGAGCAGGCACGCACCCACTCTGTTCATAAGAACCGATTGTCCTTGAAACACTGTGAGTTTCTGTATGTCTATTTCTCTCTGCGTTTCTTGTCCCTACAGACAGGAAGGAATAAGATCCTTTTCACAATCTCGAGTCTGGCGAGGGGTGAGGGGGTCATTTGCAGAGAAAGTCAAGGTAACATGGCATGCACACGTGCTCAGTCGTGTCGAACTCTTTGGGACCCCAAGGACTGTAGTCTACCAGGCTCCTCTGTCCATGGGATTATCAGGACAAGAATAACGGAGCGTGTAGAATACTTGAGTGGGCTGCCATTATCCAGGGGATCGTCCAGACCTAGAGATCAAACCCGTGTCTGCTGCATTGGCAGGTGGATTCGTTACCACCGAGCCATCTGACAAGCCCCAAGGTAAGATGGACTTGGGTACAAAGACAGAGTCTCATCCTGGGAACTGGAGGGGGAGGCTGGGGTTGGGGGCAGTACCGCATGCTGGGGAACCTAGGAACAGCAGAGAAGGGAGAGAAATCAAAGTATCTATCCAGAACGGAATCAGCCCATCCTTGGCTTCCCGACCACCAAGAAACCCCTTCCAGTCGCTCTGCGCAGACCACAGCCGCTCTCCAAATGTGAGGGGTGCACCTGCGGCGAAATACAGGAAACCTCAGGTTTGGGTACCTTGCCTTTTGGCCGAGGTTCGCCCACCCAGCCAGCCACCAGCGCACACCTCTCGAGCTCCCCGCTTCCTCGGCCGCCGCCTTCACCCCGACTTCGTGCGACGGTCTTCGCGCGACGGTCCACTACAACTCCCGCCTGGGCCGCCTGCAAACCCGAGAGCGCCGAGTGGGCGCGCGGGCTGCGCGCGGGCAGGCGCCCGGAGCTCTGGGCATGCTCAGTCGCGCGGGCAGGGCTCCGGGCGCGAGCCGGGCTCCCGCTGCACCACATTCGCCGGCTGCCAAGGGGAGCCGCCGGGCGCTCGCAGACTCGGCAAGCGCTGCCCGCACAAGACCCTACCGCCGCGCCCACCGCCGCCACCCCGAGCCATGGCATCCCTCGGCCACCCAGCCGCCTTTGGCCGGGCCACCCATGTCGTGGTACGGGCGCTGCCCGAGTCCCTCGCCCAGCAGGCGCTGAGGCGCACCAAGGGCGACGAGGTGGATTTCGCCCGCGCTGAGCGGCAGCACCAGCTCTACGTGGGCGTGCTGGGCAGTAAGCTGGGGCTGCAGGTGGTGCAGCTGCCCGCCGACGAGAGCCTCCCAGACTGCGTGTTCGTGGAGGACGTGGCCGTGGTGTGCGAGGAGACGGCCCTGATCACCCGCCCCGGGGCGCCGAGCCGGAGGAAGGAGGTAACTGCCCGCCCGGAGAAGCGAGGGGTGCGGCCCGGGATGCTCGCCCGGCCCTCACTTGCCGAGCGCTACCGACTTGCCGGGGAAATCGCGGAACTGGCCCCCGGGCTAGTTCAGAACTTCCCATTTAGGGGAGAGGGTGTGTGTGCAAAGAGAGAAGTTCATTGTTCACGCCTCCCGGCTGCCGGCGCAGCTTGAATGCCTTGGAGAGGACCCGACTGAGTGTGGTCGTGCAGACTCGGGCAGGTGGGTGGGGTGGGGAATCCGTCTCACAGCATTTTTATTTGTAAAGATTAAAAAGCAGTAAAGACAGTGCAACTCTGCCCGTTTCCCAAGGAGCTGGGGGCTGGGAGAGGTGCCCTTCCAGGCGGGCGGGTGGAGGCTGGGCGAGGGGCTCTGAGGGCGGGTTGGTGACCCTGAACCCCCAAGTCCTGCCAGGAGCTGGGAGCAGGGCTGTCCAGACGAAGGAACGGGGTGTCGGTTCCCATAGATCTACGGTGTCCCAAGTTACTTTTCAGTGGTGGAGAGAGTCCCGCAGAAGGGGACTAACAAGTGAATAAATATAAGACTGGCTTGTTGCTGAGTTGTGGTGTCTGGGTTGGAAGATCTGTATTCAGCGTAGGGTGTTGGGTGTGTATACATGTGTGTGTGTTTAATTGGAAATGGTTTCACAAATTCCATAATTTTTATTCTCTCTACTTTAAAACTCATAGTAATTGGAGCTTTTTGTGTTCTCAAAGGATGGTGACTGCTTTAAAATATTGCAGTTTGTGAAAATGGCAGTGATTGCTTTAAACACAAGGTAGGTTAGTGGGGAGAGACAAATAGAGTGAGATTGGATTTTAAAATGCCATCTGGCCTGGGATTCTTCTCACTGCCTGCTAAGAGCCGGGGCTCAAGACTCTAGGTTGCTATTGGCATCAAGTGGCATTGCAAGAAGCTGCTGGTTTCTTTCTTATATGGAGGTTAGGGATTTTTTTCTCCCTATTTTGTCTTTATTTGATTCACATTGGAAGTGTCTCACAGAGCTCATACTTTAAAATGTGCTTATTCTCCACCTGCTTCACTGCACGGGTGGATGATAGAACTTTGCTTGACCTGAGAGAAAAAGCATATTTGGTTTATTTCTCACTGAGATTATCAGCTTTTTTTTTCTTCCCCACCCTGTCTTAGCAGAAAACCGAGAGTAACAGGTCGTATTCTCTTAGCTCTTTTATCTCCTTTGCCATGCCTCTCCATCTTTGAGTCTGTGAGATGACTTGCTCCGTTTTAAACTGATAAGCACGTAACCACATTTGAACACTTTCTGATGTGTCCTAGGCCATATGGCAAAACTGTGGTTTGTTTAAAAAAGTAAGGTAGATTTTAAAACCTCTTTCAAAATGACACTCATTTGTTGAGGCTGGTCCAATTTCCTGTTAAGAGACCGTGAGTATATTTAATCATCCATTTCATTTTATTCCTGTAATAAAACCTTTCAAATTTTGGCCTTCCTGATGCTAAAGTGGGCAGTGATCTGTCTCCCCATCAGATTTTGAGGCATACGTTTAAAAAAGACCTCACTCTTGTATCAGGCTGGTGGCCCACTGCCAGAGGCCGCGTAGTGTAATAGATAAGAACATCAGACTGAATGTGATCCTGTGACCTTGGGGACTATCTCTTGCCTCAGTTTTCTCATCTGTAAAGTGGACATAATCATACCTATTTCATAGAATTGTGGTAATAAATTTATTAATCCATCTGAAATATAGAGGGTAGGACATTTCATGAAGTGTTTTTATTCACTTCCCAGTGGGTCATGGAAGATTTGCTCCTTGAGCAATAAGAAGTCTCCTGTACACTGATGCAGTTATAGTGACATTTCCCCATTCCAGGGTGAAGGGGAGTTGTCTTCATGCTTTAGGTTCCATCCTAATCTGCTCTGTAGCACTGCCTCCCAGGTTGAGTTTTCTGCTGGTGTGTGGCCCCTCCCCGCATCACCTTTGCCATTGCCTCTGATCAGATCCCCAGGGTAACAGACCTTCCAACCAGAGAAAGGAATTTAGGCAGTCACATTGGGTGGGGTGCTTCGGAGATCTCTTTGAAATCTCTATTAGTTTGCTGCCTACATTGAAGTTAATAAATGCTTGCTGAGTGAATGAACAAATGAATTAATAAAATACTAGTTAGCTTCCCAGGTGGTTCAATGTCAAAGAATCCACCTGCCAAGCAAAGAGACATGGTTCGATCCCTGGGTCAGGAAGATCCCCTTGAGAAGGAACATGTAACCCACTCCAGCATTATCGCCTGGAAAATTCCATGGACAGAGGACCCTACAGGAGGCTACAGTCCATGGAGTCACAGAAGAGTTGGATACGACTTAGCAACTAAGCAGCTAACACCTAAACAATTAGCTAATATCAGTAAGCTGATAATAATTACTTCAAGGCCCTCTTGAATTATTATATATAAATATTCCATGTAACACTAATCTCCCTAACTGAAATTCCACAACAGCCAAAGCATTATTTTAAAATGATTAACACTGATCTCCTTGTTTCCTGTCTCTTACTACTCATTCCATTTTCTGCACTGTAGCCAAGTTGGTCTTTCTAAAACTCAAATCTGATCCTGTTCCTCTTCGGATTAAAATTCTAGAAGGTCCTCCATTGAGCCTGATAAACCCATTGATCTGGGCTCTCTTTGCCTTATCAGCTTTAGCTGCATTTCTGACCACACCCCACATGCCTCTCAACCCTTGGCTCAAGCCAGCTTCTTTTTCTGACTCACCATGCTGTTGCTTTTTGGGGCATACATTCCTCCTTCACCCAGGACATTCTTCCTCCTTCCTCTCTTGCATTTTATCTGGCTTTTCTGACTCAAGTGTCAGTTCTCAGCTTACTGTTACCATTAATATTGTTAGCTAATTGTTACTGGGTGCTTGCCATTTGCCAGACATTGTGCTGGATTTATGACATGCATTTCATTGAATGTTCACATCAACTCTTGTGCTCATTGTTATCATTATTTGTGTTTAAAAGTTGATGACACTGAGTCTTAGTGAGATTAAATAAATTGCCCAAGGCAAACCACTCAGTATTCTTGCCTTGAGAACCCCATAACAGTATGAAAAGGCAAAAAGATAGGACACTGAAAGATGAACTCCCCAGGTAGGTAGGTGCCCAATATGCTGCTGGAGATCAGTGGAGAAATAACTCCAGAAAGAATGAAGGGATGGAGCCAAAGCAAAAACAACACCCAGTTGTGGATGGAACTGGTGATAGAAGCAAGGTTCGATGCTGTAAAGTGCAATATTGCATAGGAACCTGGAATGTTAGGTTCATGAATCAAGGCAAATTGGAAGTGGTCAAACAGGAGATGGCAAGAGTGAATGTCGACATTCTAGGAATCAGAGAGCTAAAATGGACTGGAATGGGTGAATTTAACTCAGATGGCCATTATACCTACTACTGTGGGCAGGAATCCCTTAGAAGAAATGGAGTAGCCATCACAGTCAACAAAAGAGTCCAAAATGCAGTACTTGGATGCAATCTCAAAAACTACAGAATGATCTCTGTTCGTTTCCAAGGCAGACCATTCAATATCACTGTAATCCAAGTCTATGCCCTGACCAGTAATGCTGAAGAAGCTGAAGTTGAAGAGTTCTATGAAGACCTACAAGACCTTATAGAACTAACATCCAAAAAAGATGTCCTTTTCATTATAGGGGACTGGAACGCAAAAGCAGGAAGTCAAGAAACACCTGGAGTAACAGGCAAATTTGCCTTGGAGTACAGAATGAAGCAGGGCAAAGGTTAATAGAGTTCTGCCAAGAGATCACACTTGTCATAGCAAACACCCTCTTCCAACAACATAAGAGAAGACTCCACACATGGATATCACCAGATGGTAAACACCAAAATCAAACTGATTATATTCTTTGCAGCCAAACATGGAGAAGCTCTATACAGTCAGCAAAAACAAGCCCAGGAGCTGACTGTGGCTCAGATCATGAACTCCTTATTGCCAAATTCAGACCGAAATAGAAGAAAGTAGGGAAAACCACTAGACCATTCAGATATGACCTAAATCAAATCCCTTACGATTATACAGTGGAAGTGAGAAATAGATTTAAGGGACTAGATCTGATAGATAGAGTGCCTGATGAACTATGGATGGAGGTTCGTGACATTGTACAGGAGATAGGAATCAAGACCATCCCCAAGAAAAAGAAATGCAAAAAAGCTAAATGGCTGTCTGAGGAGGCCTTACACATAGCTGTGAAAAGAAGAGAAGCAAAAGCAAAGGAGAAAAGGAAAGATATACCCATTTGAACGCAGAGTTCCAAAGAATAGCAAGGAGAGATAAGAAAGCCTTTCTCAACGATCAATGCAAAGAAATAGAGGAAAACAATAGAATGAGAAAGACTAGAGATCTCTTCAAGAAAATTAGAGATACCAAGGGAATATTTCATGCAAAGATGGGCTCAATAAAGGACAGAAATGATAGGGACCTAACAGAAGCAGAAGATATTAAGAAGAGGTGGCAAGAATACACAGAAGAACTATACAAAAAAGGTTTTCACGACCCAATAATCACGATGGTGTGATCACTCACCTAGAGCCAGACATCCTGGAATGTGAAGTCAAGTGGGCCATAGGAAGCATCACTGTGAACAAAGCTAGTGGAGGTGATGGAATTCCAGTTGACCTATTTCAAATCCTGAAAGATGATGCTGTGAAAGTGCTGTACTCAATATGCCAGCAAATTTGGGGAACTCAGCAGTGGCCACAGGACTGGAAAAGGTCCGTTTTCATTCCAATCCCAAAGAAAGGCAGTGCCAAAGAATGCTCAAACTACTGCACAATTGCACTCATCTCACATGCTAGTAAAGTGATGCTTAAAATTCTCCAAACCAGGCTTCAGCAATACATGAACCGTGAACTTCCATATGTTCAAGCTGATTTTAGAAAAGGCAGAGGAACCAGAGATCATATTACAACATCTGATGGATCATCAAA